ATGTCACCCCATTCCTACAACAATGGCAGAGGCTACCATGGCAAGGTGCCAACTGCTTATCAGAAACAAACTAATCATACACATTCACATTTGGAGGGTTCAGTATCTTGCCCAAGGACAATGCAGACTGGAGGAGCCAGGGATCAAACGGCCGATCTTCAGATTAGTGGGCTACGTGTTCTACCTCTAAGCCAATATCTGAACATAGGGCTGGACAATAAAACAATAATTATCGCAGTTTATTTTTTTTTTCAATAACAATATAATAAATGTACGATAAATATTCAATAAATGTTTGATTTTATTCACTTGAATCATACACGAATTAGGACTTAATTTTTTAATGTTTATTTTGTTGAAGAAAAAAGCTTTTACTTAATTTTAGTCATGCATATTTGTTGACAAAGATTTTATCATAAATGTTTTGTATGTTCTACCTCAGATTTGTGAAGTGATCCACTGTTTGGCTTCAAGTGTTGAATATAAAGAGTTTAAACCACAATTAACCATCAGGTTTCTTCAACTTTAACTCAGGAGCAAAAATCAGCCTTTAAACTCGAAAGAAATAACGATTTGATACTTATCGTGATAATTATCGACATCGAAAGATATGAAATTTTTTATCGTGATAACATTTTTGGCCATATCGTCCAGCCCTATCTGAAGAAGTCTATCTATCTGATTGTGTTAAAGCAAGTTTCCATCTTTTGTATGCACCAAACTGTCAAATGTACTGTCATTCATCTCAGGCTGGAGGAAGTCCATGGTATGGCTAACCGCATCATTAAGATGAGAGAGCAGCTGGTGGCTGGTCTGAAAAAGGAGGGATCCTCCCACAACTGGCAGCATGTCACTGACCAGATCGGGATGTTCTGTTTCACAGGCCTCAAACCTGACCAGGTACACACACACACACTCACACTCACACTCACACACACACACTCACACTCTTCTGCTTTTGATAGAATAACAGAAGAAATTGTTCATCATTAATATGTACTATTGTTCTATTCTAAAATTACACTGACTTATCTTTTAAATGATGCCAGCTAATTCTCAGCAAACCCATATTAAAGAAATAGTTTGACATTTCAGGAAATGCACTTATTCGCTTTCAGGCAGAGAAATTCGATCAGTTGGTCGATACCTCTCTTATATTTGTGTGTTAGATATAAGGCTACAGCCAGCAGCTGGGCCCAGTAACTTCCTGGAGTATCTGCTCATTGTCTTGCCAAGAAACAGTGGAGGCACAGCCACTGATTGTGTGGTAGAAGAGGGAGAAAGATGGGGTCACAGCAGCGCCGGTGATGTGCAGAGTTGTGCATGAACTTTGCAGGATGTTTGAATCATTTATCACCATTGGTAAACCACACAAACTTTTTAAAATATTATATCGTTTTTAAACAGTACTTGGAATAGACCTGCGAGGAACTGTGATGTGCATGCAATTGTCGGGGAGTCGGCGGACAGGCACAACTCTGCACAAGACCGGTGAATGGCAGGCGAGCATAGAGAAAATGGTCAACAATAAGCCTCAATTTAGCTGGAAATGCACTGTTACAGTGACTTATAAATAGAGACTGCAGCTCTGCAGTGGTAATTGAAACAAAGACTTAAAATAAAACACCAGCCTGCAGTACAATGAGTGAACAAAGCTCTGTGGGAATGTTAAATATGTACATGTGGATTTTGAGGTGTTTGTGTTTTATTTATTTTTGCTGCAGGTTGAGCGCCTGACAAAAGAGTTTTCAGTGTACATGACCAAGGATGGCAGAATTTCCATGGCGGGCGTGACCTCTGGGAACGTGGGCTACCTGGCACAGGGGATCCATGCGGTCACCAAGTAGAGTGGATCCTGCTGGGAGAGCGACAAAATCAAAGCAGCAGTGTTGAGGAGGTTTTGTGTATCACTTATTCTGTCTCCTCCATTCCATCTTCTGAAAAGAGTTTAGTTATACATCTTCTTGATTGGATTTCATCACAAGTTCAACTTGGAACGGTCGCTGCTGTTAAACAGCTTTTCTTTTCTTTCTTTTTTTGTCAAACATTTCACTTAACAGACTCCCCTGTCAAATTGTAAAACACATATTTTCTCCCATTACAGACGGAACATCTTTGCTTATTTATTATGTGGAATCAACTGGCTGTGTATTAGTATCCTCCTAAATGTGTGCTGTTTATGCTGTGGGCCTGCTCATTATAAAACATCACGGAACCAACATCGGCCTAATGTTAGACGGTGCGCAAGTTGAAATCTGTGTTGCTATGTGAAAGCCTGTAGAAAATGTGGGGTTTTTTTTTTTTCTTAATTTTAATGGTGGAGTCATAGCACTTTATAAGCTGTAAAGAATAGTTAGTTTCAAGATTAGGCTGGCACTCTGTTTTTATGTATCAGTTAGGTACTCAATTCACTATCTGGCTAATCTGTGACTATCTGAACTAAACAATGATACGGTAATTCAGTCTCCTTTTGTTATGTGTTTTAATTTTTTTTGGTTTCAATCTGGTTGGTCACAAGGCAACCCTGTCTCCTAGTCGGTCCATTTTCACCCCTGATACAAACAGCCACACAAGCCAAAAAGAGTTAAACTCGGTACAGAGAAGTTCTTGATTAGTACTTTAAATGAATTCCACAAAGGAGAACTGTTTCTTCATGTTGCCCCATAACCCCAAATCGACTGCACCATTTCTTATTTTATTCATGTTTGGTACAAGTACAAATGTCAACTTGTGCGGTTAAAAAAGATGAGTTGCCTGCTTGGGGTGAATACGGGACAGTTCATGAAAAAATATGCACATGCTGCTTATTCACTCAGACATCTTGGTTCAGTGTATGAATCTGTTCATCACTGAGACTCTGAGACAAATGGCATTTAGAAATGTGGGGTTTGCCTCCAGTCTGCTCATACTTCTGAAAATTCTGCCACTTTGCCTCCATGTTTTGCATTTGTCATAAAATAATGGATCACTGGTTATGTACCTTATTGAACAAACAATAAACGGTTATAGAGTAAAGATCTGTTCTAATGTGCATTTTTACAGTTTACCCACCTTTCCCTGCATGTATGTCTGCGTCGTGCTTACTTCAGTTGATGGGTTACTTGACAGTACAGTCATTTTGCACTTGCAGTATACTGTAGATCTACATGGACTTATTGTATAACAGCCAGTGTTGGGAAGGTTACTTTTGAAATGTAATAGGGTAACTTGTAATTAGTAAACTATTTAAAATTTAATAGTATTGAAACTATTTTAATTACTTTATCAAAGTAATGTAACTTATTACATTAAATAACTTTTTTAAAATTTCTAATGTTTTCAACTGGTAACTATTTTCAAAAGTCAGCTTGAGAGGCCTTTTAAACTGGCAGATGGGTGGTGCTGCAAATTCAAACAAGAACCAATCGGAAGCATCAGAATATCATTAAACTATACTAAATGGCTGTGGCTGAAAATGTCACTAAGACACTGCACATGAAAAATTTCATAAATAACTAATTTAATTACACTTTCCCCAGAAACTTATTAGTTACCTTTATTTTGTTATTAAATTATGTAACTAAATTACATGTTTGATTTATTAGTCATTTTTCTTCATCTTAATCGCTAACTAGAGGTGTTTGTGTTCACAATCCCCATTTAAAAATTCTCAAAAATCTGGGGCCCTAGCACAGTTGCCCACTTGTCAGCAATCTAACGTTGACCCACAATGCACCAATAATAAAGCGAGTTTACCACTTCTATTCCAGTGTAGCATTGGGTTGTATCAGAAATTTAAACAGTGATGGAATGTAATCCATTTAGTCAAGTTCTGTACTTATGTACAATTTTGAGATACTTATCATTTTATGCTACTTCATACTTCAACTCTACAAAACTACATTTTGGAGGCAAATATAACTTGCTGCCCTGTGATGGACTGGCGACCTGTCCAGGGTGTACGCCCGCCTTTTGCCCAATGTCAGCTGGGATAGGCTCCAGTCCCCCTGCGACCCTGTACGCAGGATGAGCGGTTGACGATGGATGGATGAATGAATATTTAACTTGCTATAGCAAGTTCTACACTAAATTTATTTGATAACTTCCTTTTGTAGTTTCTTTGCAGACTTAATTTATTAATACAAAATATAAATCAACTAATAAATAAGGAATTGTTATTATTATCAAAAATGAATGTACCCAGTAGCAGAGATGGGCACAAATACATCAAAAAGTATGTTGTTACAAATGACAAATATTTGTTCATCAAATGTATCTAAATATAATACAAAATACTAGTATAAGAAAATGTAAGCTACTGGTCATGAAGAACACAAATGAAGTACAGGGTTGCTGCACCTGACAGGACATACAAGGTAGATTAAATAATCATTTTACACAGGATTGTATGACAAGCCACGTGATTCACTTGCTTTAGCCAAAGTTGTACTTTCCCCCCAACAGGTTTAACCTGGGTGTAAAAACATGTCTTATTTGAGAATAAAATGTTATGTTATGTACACATATATAAGCTCTCGAGGTAGTTCGTTACAAACTACATCTTTTTTTCTGTCAAGCAAAATACAATTACACAATACTCAAAAATAACTACATACGTTTCAAATTTGATTTAATAGAAATACTGCCCATCTCTGCCCAGCAGTAGGCTATATAAAGTTCAAATTCAAATTAGCCCCACTTTTACAAGCTGCAACATTAAACTGATGTACACATTAAAACATGTATGAGTCTGAAATGGGTTATGGTAAACTCTGCGTAATGAGTACTTTTATATTTGGTACTTTAAGTATATTTTGATGCTGGTACTTTTAATTAAGATTTTGAATGTAAGACTTACTTGTAACAGAGTATATTTTCAAGTAAAATGTCTGAATTCTTCTTCCACCACTGCATTTAACTAACTTTGCTGAATGCTAAAACCTCACGAGACCTCCCACTGAGCAGAGAACTACAATACCCACAATTCCAAACAAGCAGACGACGCACAATTCCAGTCACGTGACGAAGTGTCACATGCTCCTGCGTCTCTGCACCACTGATTGCCAAAACACAGACGGCTCAGTCGTTACCAGTGGTGGACAAGCTGAAGGTACCGCTCCTATTTGCTCTCTTTTTATTCTCTACACATCACTAAAAGCGACGGAGTTAGACGATGTAGAGACTTTTAAATGTGTTTAAAAAAAGAAGCTTAATCTAGTTGTATTTTGTGTACAGCTAGGTGTAACGTTTGCTAGCTAGCTGGTAGCTATAGGACAGTAATATAAAGGGGTTGACTGCGTTGACACATGTTATTGTTACGTTAATGAAAAGGAAGGCAATAATTAATCACATTTAAAGGGAGAGAGCCATTGTGGTATTACATGATCTTAGAAAGGATCGATGGGAGGACAGGTCACTTCATACAGTGGCATAAGATGCGTGTCAGGGTCTTTAAAAGAAAAATAATAACAAAATAGTCATCGTACCTTCACCTAGTTTGGCGTGTATAAAATGCTTATCGGTCTTTCACTTGTGTTTTATTTCTAAGATTCTAAAAAACATGCATATCAGAATAATGGGGAAATGCTGGTTTAGCTGTTTGACTTGAGGCTGCATGCCTCTTTTACAGATGGTCAGATTGTTAAATTGAAGTGAAGAGTCTGCTTCAGATCACCCCCATGCTCCTGAGTAGTACCTCCTTGAGTGTTTTTGTAGTAGAAGATGTGTAGAAAGTTTAAGGAACTGGCTCATAAATTTTATAATTTAATATATTCACAAAGATGTGGACCAATAGTGTGCAGGTTTCATGTCGTGGGCTCTTACATAAAACATGTAATAGAGGGCTTTTAATTATCCTTAAAGTAAGGACAAAAACCCAAGGCGAGGCATCCTCTTATTACTGTGGTCCACGTCTCTTAAACAGCCTTCCTGAAGATCCAAGGGCAGCAGAGAGTGTTGAGATTTTTAAAAACTCAAGACCTACTTTTTTAGTCTGGCTTTTAATGGAACTCTTTTTATTTATCTTATATTTATTTATCTTATATTTGTGTATTTCAATCAGTTGCTATAAATTCTTTTATTTATTTAAATTGGATTTTTAATTCCTATTATTAGTTATTTTCCTCTATCACTGCTTTGATTGTTTTACTTCTAATACCTTTTACCTTGCAAACTCATTTCATTTATGATAGTGTTTACTTTTTTGAGTGTTGTTGTTATTGATATTAGTCATTTATTGTTTTATGCGTGACACCCTTTGTGTTACATCTGTTTGTATGAAAAGTGCTATACAAATAATCAAATGTTTGATAGAAAATGTTTAACCAGCCTAGACTTTTCACATAATATTTATTAAAGGTTAATTTGAGAGTTATGGATTACTCACCAACGGAAACAAACATTATTTGTTTGGGAACTAAGTGCTTTGCTTGACATTGTTCAGTTATACAACTACATTTACATTTTATGTTGATATGATATCTGCACTGTCCATTCTCATATTTTATTTACCATCATAAGTATCTCTAAAAGCAAAACAATATCTCATTACAGATTACTGAATGGCTGCAACATCGTTCTGACACAGCTGACTGTTAATGGAACTAAAAACACTGGACATAATAGATTAACTGCTGCTGCAGGATACCCTGTCCTGTCACTCAGACTTTCTGATCGACTTCTCCTCTGCTTGGACCCAGAGAGTTGGAGAATATTTTTCTGGGGTGTGTAAGGCTTGGCAGGCCGAGGTACAGCCTGTTGATTCATGGCGATTAACACTGATGCCGAAGACTGGGGCGGAGTTGGGAGTAATGACCCTGGAGAAAGGGCATGGCTCCTGCAGAGCCCCAGCGTGGAGTCTGACCAGCATCTTGAGACGGACAGGAGGAGGAGCGGGGGCGTGTCGTCTTTGGGAGCGGTCTTCATCGTAGTGAACGCAGCACTGGGGGCAGGTCTACTCAACTTCCCCGCAGCCTTCAGTATGGCAGGAGGAGTAATTGCAGGAGTGATGCTTCAAATGGTGAGGAGTTCCCAGTGAGGCACATGATACTCTATGCCTTTTCTACAAGCCCTTTCCCATTGCATGAGGCACGTGATCAGACTACAGACATGTGGTGTAATGTGATAAAGTGGGCTGCTACATTTCTATTCATTATTTAGTGTGTAAAATGTCACAAACAATGACAAATGCTAATCAGACTGTACTAGAGGCCAAAGGGATCTTAAAATATCTCCCTTTGTCTACCAACACATACCCTCATAAAGCAAGAGAAGCAAGTATTTTTTTAAGAGGAGCTGAAAGGACAAAATTGTGCTGTTTAACTTCATAACTGACTAAAATTACTGTTTGATTATTTAAATTTGAATAAGACTAAACGTGAACATGTGCAGCCACACAGCACTTACACTCTACTTTGCACCAAACTGCTGACAGATTGTCTTCTTGTTTTCTTGTGACTAATTCAAACTGCCTATAGACAGTATTAAAGGGAACTATAATGTGATGCTTCCTGATTCTTTGTTTCAGTTCATGCTGATTTTCATCATTAGTGGACTGGTGATCCTGGGCTACTGCTCCCAGGTTAGTCTCACTTCAGGGCCGTCAGATTCTGACTTCCTGAAAGTTAACCTCTCACAATTCCACTTGTTTCTCTTTCGTTTTCTCCACTGTGCTCTGCAGCCTTATAAATCTTAATGCTTTCCTTTCCTGAGTATTTTTCATTCAGTAGTGACACGGTTGTATTCCTGATCAACTGTAGTGCATTGCACAACTTTCAGTTCCTGATGGCCCAGACTTGTGCTTACATGTTAAAACATAATGGAGAAAGATTCCATCCAAGTTTTAGTTAAATACATTTTAGTTGTTGATATTCATTCTGACCCAGAGACATCTGCAGGATATCGCTCTAAAATACAAAAATCTGCCACATTCAGCTGTAGGATGAACTTTTTTTTTTTTAACTCTTTAAGCATGTGGTACCATGAGAATGATTGACTGACTGTACTCAACAGTGTCAATTACTCGCACCATAGCCATGCCTTAAACTCAGCAATGAGCCTCCCGCTGTAGGTTTCCACCTGTTTGGATGCTGAACGCTGCCAAAGTGTCCCTGTATAACTTGAGAAAGTCAAGTGTGTTACAAAATAAAGTGTGTTACAAAATAAAGTGTGTTTTAACCTAGGGAAATCTTAAATCACATTTTTGGTTTTTACAGTTGTCAGCAAAGAAAAACAGAATAATGCGACCGTGGGCACATGACTGACAAAATGAGTAGCTGGCAATTAGAGATCTGTTCCTGGATCTGGAATATTTTAGTTCCTGTTTTGAGACACTATACAGGTTACCTAAAATATTGTTGGCTCAGCTGTTGCATTCCCTCAAGGCCTCAGTTTACCCTAGGTCAAATAGGGCCGGGTGATACGGCCAAAAATGTTATCACAATAAAAAGTTTCATATCAAATATGCATGAGTAAAATTAAGTAAAATCTTATCTTACTAATCTTAGATAATTATCGTGATTGTTTTATTGCCCAGCCCTAAGCTCATGCACCATCTCACAGCGCATCCATCATCTCGAGATGGTCATAGAAACTGGACAGCTCCAGTGGCTAGCAGTTTAAGATTTCATGCCAGAAGACTTAAAGAACCTTCAGTCACGATGGAGCAGGATGTTTGTATATAAAACAGGTCAATGTAAACAGACTAGGATACATCTCTTTACCTTGACATGAAGTCTTACACTGCATCAACAATTTCTTTTTCTCAGACACGCATTATCCTGTTAATAGTAAAAAGACTATTTCTATGCCTTTATTGCTGGATCAGTGTCCACTTTGTCTGTTTTGTTCAGGTCAGTAACGAAAGCACATATCAGGAGGTTGTTCGAGCTTCCTGTGGGAAAGTCACAGGAGTCATATGTGAAGTAGCCATAGCGGTCTACACCTTTGGGACTTGTATTGCTTTCTTAATTGTCATTGGAGACCAGCTGGATCTCTGTAAGTATATTCACACTGATACAGTGAATCACCCGCCGGCCACCCTGTTTCTGTCTCATTTCATCAGATTGGTCAGACAATCTGTGACTTCAGCTGATATTTTCTTTAACCTAACAGCTAAAAATGCCATTTGTCAGAGCGTAACTTTACATAATTGCCGTTCCTCATTGTTCTGTCCCCTACATTTACATGGACTTTGCCGTCATTGTTCTACATTTAAGTGATCTCTGTGTTTGAACAAAGGAAGATGTCTAGTAGTAGTAGTAGTAGTAGTGTTGATTACATTAGAGGAAAAAAAGGCTGTGCCATCATCGACAAGGGCAAAGAGCATCAAGGATGACACGCTCAGCTTTTTCTGTGTGTGTGTGTTCATCATGTGACCCACTCTTACATTTCCATATACTGAGGCGCTGACAGTGTAGAATTCCTCCTTCTGCCTGTTTCTGGAAATAGACTTTGACCTTCTACCTCTTTTGGTGTTTGTAAGTGAATGAATGGAGTCGTTGTGACTTTTTATTATCTACTTTGCTGAATCTCTTCAATGTGTACAGTAGTTTATGGTCCATTCCCACTGTGGCACTCGAATCCTGCGCACACTTTACTGCCTCCTCAAAGTTTTTGTAATTCCTGTTTTTTGTTGCAGTGATAGCTGCGATAGCTCATGAAACGGACAAAACAGTCAGCGGCTACTGGTACACTGACCGCAAATTTACCATTGTTGTTACTGCTGTCCTGGTTATTCTTCCTCTCTCCATTCCTAAAGAGATTGGCTTTCAGAAGTATGCCAGGTACAAACACTCAAGTCACCTCACTCGGCTTAAGCATTAAAAAAACCTTTTACCTTGCGTGATGATCACGTCTGAATTGTTGTTGTTGTTCAATGCAGTACACTGAGCGTGATAGGAACCTGGTATGTTACCATTGTGGTCATTTTAAAGTCCATCTGGCCAGATAAAATGGTGATCCCCGGCTATGTTCCCACCAGGTGAGCTCTGCACACACACACGTCATGACACTGCTCTGCCTTTATGCAACTATGAACTTTAAAAAAAAAAAAGTTCTACTAATCATTTTAGCATTGTCCACCTACTCATTCAAGCAAAAAAACTCTGCATCCTCGTCGTCATGCTTTGCTTGAGTTGCTAAATCAGTGTGTTTGTTACAGTTCTGCTTCCTGGACTGCAGTTTTCAATGCAATGCCCACCATATGCTTTGGTTTCCAGGTATATCTTCATTTGGTATCATTTGAGATCAGAAAACTATATGCCTTTCTTTTAGTTTAATAACAATAGCTTATTTTTGTATCATCTTTTTCCTCATCTCTCTGTCTCTACAGTGCCATGTTAGCTGTGTGCCAGTGTTCGACAGCATGAGCAGAAGAGAGATCAAACCTTGGGGAGTGGTAGTGACTCTCAGCATGCTCATCTGTCTCTTTGTTTACACAGGAACAGGTATTATCAATGTGTGCACCTCACATAGATATTCAATAATGCATCATCTATAACCTGTCAATTAGTCTCAAATTTATTGACGTGATTATATTTAGGATGATAAGACATTATACAGTCATGATAAACCATCTGAAACAAGTGTCCACTATATTGATTGTCTTGTCACATGGATCAGATATAAAGTAGCTCCTGATCTTCAACATGTAACAGGTCTGATTGTTTAAATGTCAGTTCAAATTACGCTGATAGCAGAAGACACACATTGTGCAACTCTGTTGCAAGTCAGGTGTCTCCTGACTGGCTGTCAATACTTAAATGCTTGTTGTGTTTTGTGTTTGGTCAGGTGTCTGTGGCTTCCTAACATTCGGCTCCAATGTCAGCCAGGACGTGTTGATGTCCTACCCTCCTGATGATATTGCAGTGGCCATCGCAAGAGCTTTTATCGTCATCTGCGTCATCACCTCCTACCCCATTTTACACTTCTGTGGCAGGTAAGTAACATTTTCCACAAGTCTGGTCTCCCTGTTCATCCTGTTTCTCAGTCACATTTGTTAAGATTGTAATAAACCTAAAAATAATGTTTATGAATAAATATTTCAGTACAGTGATGCAGACTGGTGTTACCTTACACATTAAAGATGATCCAGATCAGTTTCATACAGTAAGATATACAGGTTTTAATCAGTAGCTGGAATTCGTCCTGAGTATTTGGAAACTGCTTTGGAAAGTAAACATGGGATCAGTGTATCTACTACAGTCTTAATTGTGCGTCCTTCCAGGGCAGTCATAGAAGGACTTTGGCTACGTTTCCAAGGCGAGCAGGTGGAGGTGTGTGTACGTCGTGAGCAGAGGAGGAGGATTCTGCAGACGCTGGTGTGGTTCGTCGCCACCCTTGTCCTTGGCCTATTCATCCCAGATATCGGTCGGGTGATCTCGCTGATCGGGGGATTGGCAGCCTGCTTTATCTTTGTCTTCCCAGGTAAGACTTCCCTCATTCTTTGCAAGGTTTCAGATCTGTGACAATTTTAATGTCACACTAACATCTGTCCGATGACTCTGTAACTTAACAGGGTTGTGTTTGATGCAAGCCAAGCTGTCAGAGACAGACAGCCGATCTGCAAGGTGAGATGCTGCTTATTCTTTGATATCTTTCAGTTTCTTTGTAATAAAAAAAAAAAAAAAAAAAAAGTATAATTAAATAATAATATAATAGTGTGTGGTACAGCAATAAGAGCTAACCCCATAAGGGGCCTCAGTGTGTGGAGTTGCATGCTTCTTTAACTGGACTTGGTCACAATTTCACCATCAGAGTGCAGGAAAAACATCCAAAACAATGTCGCCAGTTTACGGAGTTGTTACGGCTTTAAGGTTCAGTGTGTAGGTTTTAGTGGCATCTAGTTGTAAGGGATGCGAATTGCAACCAACGTCTCAGCAACCTCTCACCACTCTGTTTACAAGTGCGTAGGAGATGCTATGGTGGCCGACACGCTCTGTCGGCTCTTGGGTGTGGTCCACTATTTGTCCAGATTTCACATTTCTTTTACTTCTAACAAACCAGACAATTACTATTACTACTTCTTCCTCTTCTTTGCACGTATTCAATGTAGTGGAGAAACCTACTCTGCAGAGTTTGTCCATTTGGGCTACTGTAGATACATGGCGACAAAACATGGCAACTTCCATGTCAGGGGACCGGTGGTGTGTGTACAAAGACATGGCTCATTCTAAGTTAGTAAAAAAATAACTGTTCATTATGTATGGTCTTTAAACACATTATATTGCGTTTTTGTCCATATATCCTCGTAATTATTACACACTGGACCTTTAACAGTCAAATAACTAACTATTAGACATTCAGCAGACAGTAACATAGCATTCATTTGGAGTTTTACATCTATGTAAACTGAATATGTTGCAAACACGTAAATCTGCAGAGTTGGGTGTTTTCGCCACTGTGAGCAACCCGTTCACATTAGAGACCTTTGATTCAGTGTCTATCAAGGTGTACTCAAATGTGAATTAAACATTTTTTACAGAAGAATTTTCCGTAACGTTTGTCTCTTTTACAGCTGGCATGGATTGGTGGGCCTTGGTGTTGTCATGGTTACGATCGGAGCGTTCATCTTTGGCCTCACTACAACCAACTCCATCTACCAAGACGTCGTCAGCTAAAAGGAACGTTTATCGGAGCCAGCGGTGTCCTCATTACTGAGCGGGTGCTTAGTCCTGTGCTGCTATTCTGAACTACTGGCTAAGAAGCCACTCATTTAGAAAATCAACATCTCTGCAGCATGTCACATCCCTGCTACATACCGAGTTAAATCTCTACAGCTCTTTACTCAAGTCAGGTAGTAGTCAGAGACACCCCACATTGCCAAGTGACTTCAGACACTTTTTACCTTTTATTTTATGTAAAGTTTACGTCAAGTTAAAAATGCATGTTTAATGTGTTTATGGTGGTTTTAAATTGCAGTGAAAACAGTTCTGGTCGGTTTAGCCATCCACAGGGGCACAGAATGGCTTCCCCTGTCTGTGGACCCTGTAGTGTTTACAAGAGATTAAGGACTTTGTATTAGGGATGGGTCATGATTTAACAATTTTCGAATGGTCATTAAATTATTTAAAAAAATCGAATAGTTTAAGTCACTATCGTCTTGACATTGTGTGACTACCACGTCTCACTATCATTCTTCATTAACAGAGCGGTCCGGTTCTAGTTACCAGCTACTGCTTCATTCTCTCCAGCATTGGCACAGTGCTAAAACAAAGTGTGGAGATATGTCTGGCTATACTTTACCAGCTACGATCCAGGCTAAAGTAGTCTAAGAAACAAGTGAGCGCCCAACTGTTGTTTGGGCCAAAAATCTGGAACACAGGTAAAGCTAGCATATTACAAGTCTACAACAACTATTCAGTCATTGCGTCTCTGCATGCAGAGAATGGTTGAATAATTCCCAAGTGATTTTATTGAGTGCTTTGCTAAGAATCAAATTTAATTTAATAATGAAATTGTGCCATTTTTTGTGTATTGACATAACTGACATGCTGTGGTTCCCAGGTCCAGTCTTTATGTTGGTGCTGCTCACAGTTTGTCAACAAAGTATCTTGTCTCCTTTCCAAGGAGACACCTCACCAGACAATGGTTGGTTCCTGTTTATAGAATGGAGTAACACCTGATACACTATCCATAAACCTGATTATTCATTATCAGTTATATAATGGCTTCTACAACACTTTTAAATACATTTGAGTTATTTATTGTTCGGTGTATATATATATATTCTCATACATTTTATAAAGTTACTATGATGATTTTATTATTGGTTTTGAGATTAAATCATTTGTTTAGACAAGTTTGCGAAAGTATAGCGCTACTTTCATGTTCAAGCCACATTCAAGCCTGAAGGTCTTAAAAATAAATAAATAAATAAAAAGACACTTCAAAATGTGCTAAACACTGAACTGCCAGACAGGGTGAAAACCACAGCAGTGTGTCTCCCTACACACTGTGCACAGATCTGCAGGGTGTCCCAGACAAGAAACACATCTGCATTCAGGATATGAAAACAAACTCTTTCAACAGTGTTGATTTCTCACAGGGTGAGTTTGGAAATGATAATGTCTTTATGAATGTATGCACAAAAAAAAAAAAGAAAGTCGTCACCCACACAGAACTCAGTTTGCACATAATTTACAGAAAAGACTTGTTGCACAAGCGAACGACAGCTTGGCTGGCTGTGGGAAGAAGCCAAGTAGTTAAACCCGTGAGTTTGAGGTTTTATTTACTTGAATCAACGCACACCACTGCAAACTCAAGAATGATGAGTTAATAATAATTTGCTCTTTTTTTTCTTTTTCTTTTTACTTAAAACCAAAGCTTGGGCTTCCTTTTATGTCCTACAATTTAAGTTAAGTTGGATTTCAAGTTAACTTTTATGAAAAAATTTTTTTTCCCTAACCAAACTGAAGTATATTTAAAATGAGAAAAATGACATGATAAACTGAGTGGATTTAATCCCTGGTTTTGCATTTAACAGTATGACCGCTAATCTTGGGTACATTAAGCATTTTATGATCCATAATTCAAGTGAGATTTAAGACTTGATAGCATTTTGTTTTGACTGTGTATCCAGATTTCATGAAACCAGGTAATATACAGTGTTTTATTTGTAGACATGAGGGCCAGTGGTGTAAAAGGGATTTGGGTTTTTCCAGAAAAGCAATTACGTTGCATTAGTCACACTATTGGAGTGAATACATTGATACATCTACCATATCATTTAGAGGAAGGGAAAGAAGCTACGATCAAAACATTAATGCTGTCTGATCAGTGCGTCATACAGTTTTTTTTTTTTTTTTATAATTTCTTGCAATCATTGTTGGAATATAAATTGTTTCCATGGTTTGGTGTTGAACGGTGTCATTTTTTTCTGATTTTTTTCACCATTTTGGTGCTGCAGAAACTTTGTATGGTCATTACAGAATGTCAGGTGCATTTATGATTTCTGTCACTGATGTATTGTGTTTTCAGGGTGAAGGATGTACATTTTTTTTTAAATCAGAAATCATGTGTCCCTGTTGACTTGCATGACGTTCATGTCAAGTTTTAATGGACTACTTGTGATACTCCAATAAATGAAGTACAATCAAGGCATGTGAATATCATGTGTCACTGGCAGTTCAAAACATTTATTTAAAAAAAATAAATAAAAGTGGAGCTGCAGTTTTGAACAACACGGTTTGAGCAATGCCATTTAAGTTCAGTTGTATCACTTCATTTACTTCAATGAAAACTGTAAAACACAAAGATTCAGCTTGACATCACTGCCACAGAAAAAAAGCGTATCTGGAGAAGGACAACTTCTGTCATGTCTTTTAAATCAGCACATTAGATATGACATTAAACTGAAGTCTAAGCGTTGACTTTTTAAACATTCAGCCTGGGTGAATAGTAAAGGACTTGTACCCTTTTATGCATCCATATGTAGTCCCCTAGTTTCTGGACAATCTAACAAGACCATCAATGAGTGGGCTAAGCAGAACTGAGCAGGTGCTTTTCACTTAATGAAGACCAGACTGAAGGCACAAATCCCCAAAATGAACAAGAAGTGAAGCTGGCTGGTAACCAAATACTAATAATTATTTAAATACACATTTGTTAATGTGTCAAAAAATTCAGAGACCCTTAAAAAAGGGTTGCACTTCCTACACAATTAGCCCAATACAGATGTAAGCTGCCTCAAAGCTGGAAGTCAACAATAGAATTGCTTAATTTTAAAACCAGTGGGATGGCAAAGCAAAGCAAACAACAAATGTGTCCCTCTACGAATACTGAACACAACAACATAGTCGACAAGAATAAGTGCCCTAATAGTCCTTTCGCTTCATCTTCCCTGAGAAAAATATACCATCTAACAAGTGACAAATGAGTGCAGGTATTTTACATACTGCAGTCTCAATAGAAGCCATTTGTTATGAAAGACTGGAACATGTGGAAAGCTGGACCTGGAGCCCACTGGGGAACCATGTGACCTGCACCCTGAAACACAGGACAGCAGAATTTCACAACAATGCAACTTTATAAACATAAAAAAACGACAGACTGGTTCTGTGGCAGACACCGAACACACTGGTGGTTACCTTGACCGTCAGGAAAGTGATGTTTCCAAACTGTTGGTAGAAACCAGCAATCTGGTCATCATGAAGCCATGTTTGGTACTTAGTGGTTGCCTGAGAACAACATTTAGTTCATTAGTAGTATTAAGTGCATCTGGCTGTAGTTTTGGGGAGAAATTTTATTTCGTTTGTAATCTTTCCTGAAATTTCCTACTTGCAGGCCGAGGTCTTCCACAAACCACTGGTCTCCCAGGAAGTTGCAGGCCATGTCAGTGTCCCCGTTGTAGACGAGCGCCCGCAGGCCCAGAGAGAGCAGTTTTAGATACACATCCTTCACTGTTGGGTACAAGGTGGTGTACTGCGCTCCAACTTCATCACTGAAAGGAAGAAAAGAGAGAGCTAGTCTAAAACTACTACTTCAAGATGTTAAATACTGCAGTTATCAAGGCAACAGATGCTTGTACAGATATTCATGGTCCTCAGGGCCCAGCTGCGTTCAAAAGGTTTATTGTGGATCAGAATGATCAAGATTTGGAAATGTTTTGCTAACTAGGATCAAATATGCCATGTTACTTGTGTGCCAGTTTTTACATATCACAATGTAGGCTACTAGCTATATAAAGAAGAACAGGTAGAATAGCCAGCGTTGAGTGACTTTACGTCACGTGTGGAAAACAATACCAACATTTCCTTCCATTTTCAATTTCTTTACAGTCAGACCACTCATCTATACATAATATACATTATTCACCAATACATTGTGCATTTTGAACACGTTTTGAACTCAAAAAGGCTCAATGTCCAATAGTTAACAAAATAAAGAACGTTCAGAGATCTTCATTTGTGAAGAGACCAGCTTTTAACTTTTAGGAGGCGGATCTTAGAAAGACTGACTGGATGTTGTCACGGCTGTCGCTGTCACCTTTGTATTTCCCCTTTTTCTGTCTCACCTCTACCAAGTAGGCTGTGTCCCTGGGGAATGAAGACCCGCCCACTTCCTGGTTTCTGGGGTGCTGACATCAGTCCCGCCCATTGGTTCCCTCTGTGTCCACTCAACCAATGGGTCGTCACCACATTAATTACCTCCTGCTCATAAGGAGAGTCCACCTGTTGCTCCAGGCAGCTTGTCACCGCTGGTATTGACTGCATACCCTGCCTGTTAGTTGTACTTTGTGTTTAGTGGAACTATCCACATTCCTTGCTTGCTAGCTGTACATTGTGTTTAGGAAAACCATTTTCATACCTTTGTTTGTTAGCTCCACATTGGGTGCAGTGGAGAAATCCACTTAGTATTTTGTTTAGTATTGTGTTAGTTTTCACCAGGTGGAGAAGGTGCCGTGCTCTTTGTGTTCTTTTGTAGCAAGAATCAACTCTGCTTAAATCGATAGATAGGTACAGGCCTCCTTTTGAGGACCTTTTTATTTTAACTTGGTTTGTTATTTTCGCAGCACCCTCATCCACCCTCCTTGTGTTTATTGTTACCTGTCTACATCTCTCTGTTACCAATAAAAGTTACCTTGTTAAGATCTATACCAGTTGTGCCTATATGTTTATGGCCCCCACTCCCCTAGACCAACAGGGGGTCGTAACAATGTGCAATAAGGGATGCAATTGTTAGAAGCTACTTTTGACTCATTTACCTCTGATGATAGTCATTGTTATAAATGTACAGTGATAACTTTAAATGAAACATTTTTGTTTGAGATTAATAGCTATTTATGGGATTGTTTTAATTTTTTTTTTAAATACTG